TTTATAAACCCAGACTTTAGTTTTATAAATATAAACATTAACGCTATACGAACTACGAAGGCACGAAGCCAATGATTCAATGAAGGCAAATTTTGCCCTAAATACTCGGTCAGAACCTCAGAGGTGTATTCTAGCACACAATTAATCTTCTCTCACAGTTTAAAACAAACAGTATTACTAACCTTCGACAAATTTTGTATAAATCTTATCGAATTTAACCATTATGCCACAGATTTTGCCAAAAATATTTCTTAGACGGACAAAGTAATATTATGGACACTCCTTGCGTGAAAATGTTAATTTATCCCGAGGTTTGAATATATTAATCCAAGATTGCATATTTGCATAATAATGTTTTGTTATTGACCAATCAGAATACATAGAAGACCGGCCGGTGCCAGGGCCTTTTCCCGCCTTCGCAATGACAAAAAGGGAAAAGCCCTGGGAACGAGGTTGAATATTACATGATGTTCCAACGAACATAACAGCAGGGATTGCAGGCGTGAGCGGAAGACAATAGATATTAATAGAAGGGATGAAACACCGGTATCATGTAGAAGGGATGAAACACAGGTACACATAAGTATCCTGGTCTCTTGGAAAATTCCACGCCTCCTGCCAACTCCAACAACGCCTATGCACTTAATTAATGAAAGTAAACAATGTTTAGCTATACCGATTAATATGAAATATTTAAATGTGGCGACCAACGTTTTTTTTTACATTATTTAATTTTATTATTATTTAATCATTACGTCACGAGACGAGGCTACTTATGGAACACGTCTCGCGAAAATGGTCAAGAATGCTCGCTGTTATAAATCACATAAATTAGATTGATCAGTGCTTTTTTGGTACTGACTAGGCTTGTTCATGTACGTGAATATCAGCTGAGCCCTAAAAATACCACAAAAAGCTTAAATGGATGGTCTAGAAGCATTTTAAAAAGTCACGTGATATTTTTTCATCCCTTCTATTTATTTCTTCCCTCGCCTTTTCTCTCGCGCGCCCGCAATCCTTGCTATTTTTTTCGTTGGGAATTAAAGTAATATTTTCGTTTTGTCAATTTATTAGCCATATTTGAACAATCGTTTGAAGCAATATAAGCGCCTGGTTTGAAGCTATTCACTGCAAATGCAAGCTCTTATGATTTATACAAGTAAGTGCAATAATTTAAATATATTACGTTATGATGCTTTATTCATATTACGTTTAATTAATATGTTTCATTCACATAATTCATAACACAGCTCTTAGTTGGACCCCCTGTGGTTTAAATGCGCAATTTACTACGATTGAGGCAAGATCCATTTATGTCTTTATGATCTATAAAAGTATAATTATGTCTAATACACATGTCACATACAAATTTAATTTTGTTGTTAACATCTGACATCTTAGCAGAAGATTTGATATCGTTTCTTATTGTATTACCCGAGATCCCAACCTCGGCATTTGGAACCTTATAATGCACCGCAGAGCATAATTTCTCTATTTTATTAAGACAAGCATTCGATTGGTCAATTGGGAGATTGTTCGTCCTACAATGTATTTTAACATGTGAACGCGAAATGCTTACATTATCTTTGTTTCGAATTTCTGATTCTATTTCTTCTGCTGACTTTCCGGGGTAGGTAAACTTACGAAATTTCTTACGTGACACCTTCTGGGGGAAAATGTTCTTGATCATTGAGTCCCCAATTAAAACCACTCACTGTTCGGGGCTTTGGGCACGCGAATAAGTAGAATTACGATCGGCACATTCAACAGGGGCGGGGGGGGGGGTTGTCTTGCCTACTTTGTTGATTAGACATTCTTGACTTGGTTTTCCCACTTTGTTGATTATTGCTATTTTGACGCTGTCCATCTTCTTGTGTTTGCGGAGGTTCGTTGTTATGCTCTTCTGGAGATTGCTCGGAATTATTATTCAAATGAGATTGATTTCGCACGGAACGTAGCGTTTGTGTATTGTGAATTTGAAAGGACGTCCTGATTATTTCCCGTTACATTAGAGCCGATGTAATCTCCTCGAGGAATTACTATTTCTGCATTATTTATCTTGAGCCATTAGCCTTCATGCCAATTGCAATGTCTCTCTCTCTTCTTCATGTTTCACTAATTTTTGTTCAAGATCTATTATATCTTATTTGCTCTCATTTATTTCTCTTAGTCTTAGATATTTCTCATTTAAGTCGGAAGATCTATTGTACAGAGATAATATAGTGTCATGGTCTTTTAATGTAGTTTCAAAACAAAATATTGTCATCTGCAGATTAGAGATTTTATATTTGAGACTCACGAGTTCAGTAGCAAATTGTTGACAGGAACATGAGCGAACCGGACTGGTATTTATTTATAACTTGGACGCCATTTACTTCTTCCCCGTTTATCTGGCTAGATTTGTCGGTCATAGCCGTGTTACTCTCGAAATCTGTCCCTTTTGCAAGTGCTTCAGCCTGCCAGTATATAGCACTTTCGCTAGCACTGAAAATATTTTCTATAAATGCTTGATTATATTCAAGTCAGAATCTGTCGTAACTTGAAGTATTATTGTACTATTCAAGTCATTAGTCGAGTCGTCTTTGATCGACTCATCTTTATTCACAGCGAAACTAAGTATCTTCACTCAGTCGCTGATTTCTTGCTGTTTTCTTTAGCAATATGTTTCCAAGTTTCTTGCCTTCATCTCCTTGTATTAAGATTCAGTTGGTATAGTACCTGATGATGGCGCTTTCCGACGTTTCTTTGAATAATATCAAATGCCCGCCAGGCGACAACCACTGTCAGACTGTCCTTTTAGCTGTAAGCCTGTTTCGACGAAATTTTTAAGAGAATCAAAGCTTTTCATCCACTTTAGTTTCCCTTTTTCAAATGTGATTGATTTATTATCAAGTTGAAGTTTTGCGAGGATGTTCAGGAAGTCGACCAATGAACTATTAACATTTTCCTCTGCTACACAATTGGACATGTTGCATGTCCGCCATGTTGCAACGCTTATCTGAGAACAGTGGCGTGCTGGCAGGGGGGGGCCGGGGGGCCACGGCCCCCCCAGCTGGCAATTTTTGAGGGGCGCAAAAATGAAAAGGGGGCGCCGATCCCGCGCCGAATTTTGAAAGTAGGTGGGAAGAAACGCATTCGTAGAAATATAGTTACTAATTCCGCCAAGGAAAGATGTGTTTATACACTTATAAACAGACTAAGCGCATAGGCGACAAAGTGAGTGAGTATATTAAATTGCAGACTATTTTGTCTAACCGTATTTGCTACCTCACGACTCACACGAAATCACTCGTTCATATAGAAACATGATAAGTGATCACACGCAATGTCTCAATACCGGAATATTGATCAGGCTTCGAAGCGATCACGGGAATCATGCATACGCGTGGGGTCCGTGTGTTATTCTATAAAAGAGCTGTAAGTTGTAAATGTATTCAGATCAGTAGAGAATAAAATTGGGATTAGATTAATTGCTGGAAGTAGTTAGCATTGCCCAATTTAAGTGCTACTACTAAATTTTAACCAATTTTCAAATTTCGACACGTTGTAATGCCGTTTCCTGACCATCAGATTTCTGTCAAATCTTCCCCCAAAGTCCAGGAAATGGCATTTCAGAGACTCTAAATTCAAAAATTTTCCCGGGGGGCATGCCCCCGGACCCCCTAGACAAACCTCGCACCTGTGGCGCTCGGCTCGTGCCTTCGGCCCTCGTTTATCAAGGGTAATATTATAGGGGCGCATATTAGTTGCCAGCCGACTGGCCCCCCCAGAAAAATACTACCCAGCACGCCACTGTCTGAGAAAAAGTCTTCGAAACAAATAAACAGCTAAAACACTTCTCAATCGATATTATTTATGTGTAGGGAAGTTTGGCACAAATACCAATATTTCTGGAGATTTTCAACTACAGTGACAGGTAAAGACAAAGGCACAACTGTATCTCAACATGATTTCCAAGCTACATCTGCACCCCCTCCCCAATTAACGATCTAGTTACGCCTCTGGGTGATTCACTGCACGAAATTTGGTTTCTCTCGTCTTTAACAACATGGCTATTGCCTTTAATATTTGGTTTAAATAATTATGCTCTTAGGTCTGACTTAGCTCGATATAAATAAACACAAATATAAAACCTCGGTTATTAATTACCTGTTTACGCTGCATGCACATGAATATACAGTTCGCTTCGATCTCCGGACACCAATGCTTGCCTACAAATTTTATCCCTTTCACAATCTTTGTTTTATTTTTATCGTATAGTCGCAATTTTCAAGTATTCGCGGTATTCTGAAACTGTAAAACTGGGTGTCACGCCAAGTGAATCTTGTGCAGACTACATCGGCCTATGGCGTAGAGCTATTTAAGTAAACAGGGCCTAAATTAGTAGTTTCATTTAATTGTTTGTCTTGCTTTTATTTGTCTTTGTGGAATATTGTAAATTGAAGTATTACTACAATGCAATACGCGTAGTATTTCATCAGACATCTGCACTACATTATAAATACTGTACAAGGAACACTACGCAGTAATCAACCGACTATAAAGTAGACGTTTCTTGATTTTTCAGGAAACATCACAGCTCACGTCAATCAATCAATCAATAATTTATTCAAAGTACCTACAATAATTTTGAGGCCCTTGCAGGAGATCTGGAGGTTAACCCTATATAAAGCTCACCTTTATACCTATCAACATAGCTTTTGAGTTTTGTAACCGGCCGAGCCAAAAGTAGCTAAATCATGCAGTCGGGAAAACCGAAAACTTCTTACGTTGAAAGATTATTTTGCAAAATACACTCGTACAGACAAGAATCATAAAAATACATATGTTGAAATTGTTATTGTCAACTGTCAAGTTCAGCTATTTTTAGACAATAAGGTGTTAGCCAATCCGAATGCAAAATTTACCGGCCCAGACCAGGGCTTTCTCGTCTCTCTGCCTCGCCCTCATACGAAAGCCCTGGGAACGAGGTTGCGTAAATTATTCTATGTGTTCCGAACATGTGAATTACGAGAGCCACCACCACCTGTCACCAGCTACCCGTCACCCGCTACCCGTCACCCGCGGAAAATGCCTGCCGCTGAACGATGACTAGCTGGCAAATCTGGTGCACAAGCTCAGTTCTTGGCGTACATATGGCGTATAGTTGTTTACAAAGACAAAGTACTAAGTATAAACAACTGGTTATTCAAAAGGTTATTCGATTAGTGCAACAAGTTTTTACATCTCACAAACAAAGAAGCAAATGTTTTAGCTTAAATTCGCTGATTGCAAGTTGGGCCATGTTTGTCTATTTTTAAATGGGAGCGCAACTATGCTTTTTTTAAAGTAAACACTCGTTATGCCAATATTTTGATATTCAAACATATAATAAGTTATATGATTTTGCGAATGATAGGATTTCTTCAATCTTGCATACTCGTTTGCGTTTGGGATGCTGCGGTTTAAATTATTTTTTGTTCAAAATAAATTGTATCCTGTCGTCTATGTGCATTTGTAACACGGAGCATGAAACAGTTACCCATTATTTGTTAAGATGTCGTCCCCGTTTAGCCTCCTCCACAGGCCTCTCTATGGGTTTTAGCCTGCGAATGGGTTTTGAAAAAAAAATTGCTGCGAGAGATGCCTGCCATAAATCGAACAAAATAGACGTATCTCAAATATCAGTGGCCATGTTACGTTACCCCACCCCCTAAGTAGGCTTTTGACCCAAATTATATATTCAGTTTGAAATCTTCGGGCGAGGAGCGAAACTTGTAAGTATAAAAAACTTTTAAAATGTTTTATAATGCGTCGAAGTATTCAAGTTATACGAAAATTAATTGGTCAATTGAAAGCATTATATCCTGAATTATATATCGCAATGTTCCTCGCGGTATAAAAGGCCCGAGGAATTACAACTTCTGAATTCGAGGAAATTATCTGGCAGATATAATTTCGAACGCAAAACGAAGAATGGAACGATAAGAAAGGTATAACTTGTTTAATGAAGGGATTATATTAAATTGTATTGTTTTCTGTATTAATGTTTGGGTTGCTATTTTGATTTATATTTTACTATAGGCCTACTTTTTCAACAGTCAAATCATCAGGCATTTGGCAACATGCTCAGTGAAATGATGTATAAAAGGAAAAGATCTTTTTGTTGAAGCAACCGTTTCAACAAGTGACTGCAACTTGGAAATATAAACTAACTGTAGAATTTTGTTGGCATCTTATAGAGCCTACATTATATATATGCCTACCATATTATTATTTAATATGCCTGAGATTGATGCATACACTCTTTTGTGAATTATTTGGTTGAACTGGTAACCTGCCAACATACCACAGTATTTGTGAACTAAGCTTCTCTCAGGTGAATAGTTAAATTGAACTCCCCTCACCCCTTTAATGGCTTTTTGTTTTCTTTGTTTTCTAAACGGCAATAATGACGATTTGGACTAATGATTATTCATCTAACCTACCAACCCTGTGGTGAAAAGCAGTTGGCATGTGACAACCTCTTTCTAATATAGTACTGCATATGCCTACTTGTGTTACACTTACTGACGTGCATGATTTGATAAATACAGGAATTTATGTGTCTGCATATAGTGCCGCAGCAAGCTCGATAATTGGGGGGGAGCTCATATTCATATCCTTGTGTTCTGCGTTATTAATTTCTTTTGAAATCGATTGTTTTTATGGTCTGTGAACACGAATATATGAATACGAGCCCCCCCCCCCCAAATTATCGAGCTTGCTATGGCACTGGCATATTATCTAATTATATGTATCTTCCTTGTTCATGTTCAAATAAAATTGCTCTTGACATATATTGCTTTAAAATATAGTAACTCTTGATTGGCATGTATATCACGTAAGACCAAATAATGCCCCTATACACACAACACGCCCTCTTTGTCTCATCCCTGGCAGAGGCGTGCCTGCTTTTACTCTGTCTAACATCAGACAATTTTACTTTTCAGTAGGAGAGTGCAGACAATGAGTTAATCTAAAGCTTATCAAATGTATTCATTGTTGTAAACTTGTCACATCTTACAGTTAATATATAGCCACCATTGGAAGGCTATTATCAGGGTGGTTGCTGTGTAATATAAAGATAGCAAAACACTACCTATCACTGGGACGTTTCTTCAGTGACTGATTGTTACAGGGAAATTTTCCTTACAAAATGGATTGTAATGTTTAATTTAGCAAGCAAAATGGAATGTAATGCCTCCATCGGTTAACAAATCGAAGCCAAATGTTATTAAGACAGGTCTTTATATTCTGTTGCACCACATAAACCGTCACTTGGAAATCTATTAGATTCCTATTAAATTCCAGTTGTCGTTTCCCTTATGTATAGGCACCTCACACCCATATATTAAAAGTTAAAACAGGGCTATCGATTTAATTAAGAAAGCGTTTGCCATTTAATAAATTTTTGCCACATTTGAGACACTCAAGTGTGAAAACTTTGTCTTTGTCCAAGGCCAAGGGATAAATTGAACAGTGTATTCCGCAATAAGAAAACTTTTATTAACGATTTTCCTTTCATACAAGCGTATTAAAACAATGTTACAAGACAAGAAGTATAAATAGTATATTACCACAGTCACAGATATGTCAACAGTTGAATATATATTGACAATTTAGTCGCCCGTTCCTTCTCGTGTTATACAGGGTGTATCAAAATAAACGCAATTCATCTTTTGTGCTTAATAACTTTCGAAATACTATTTCTAGTTAAACGCTTTTAGGCTTACTTCAAAGCCTGTTCTTTTCTCTTTCATACAAACTATTATCCTTGTCTCCAATGCTAGTAATAATTGTACAGGAAAAGATTTAGTAAAACCTATAATTTTTAGTTGCTGTTTAATTATGCAAGTTTACTATGTTATTGTTTAGTCGATTTAAATGTTAGAATTTTCTTCTTTAAACTTTAATGTTGTCGTCACTACATCTGGAAAACCACGTAAGAACAAATTAAAAGTATTTTAAAAGAGACCCGGTTGTTTAAAAATCCTAAACGAATGCTAAAAATCGTCAAAACATTCTGGTGTCTGAGCCAGAGTGTCATCGAATTGCGATGTAACGTAAACAGAAATTATAGCAAGCTGATGTCAGTCAGCTTAGATGGTCCAAGCCAAAATTATATCGCATTTGAAGTTTCAAACTGAGTTCAAAATAGTGGAAGAAAAGCCGTAATTATACTTATTGTTACAATCCATTTAAAAAAATGCAACATTTTTTTGTTTTAATGAAAAAATCAGTTATTTTCATTAGAACGATTTCTTATTCCATCGCAATTTTTTTAATCTCCAATCGCAATAACGTAAAGTATTATTATCCGCGAACCAATGAGTCAAATTTAAGAAACAACCCACTGTTAGAAAGCTGAATGGCTACGCTTTAAAATGAATGTAAACTTTAACGTTTTCGTCTATTATTTGTTTAGCAATTTACATTTCAGTCGAGGATTGCGCTTTTTTTTATACACCCTGTAGTTTCGACTAAATCACTGCACTTTCCGCTTATTATCATATAAAATGTAGTCGACAATTTGAGTAGAAATATGTATATATCAACGATAAACTTTCACTTAAAACCCTGTCTTGACATGAATCGACGGCAACGTGAATATTTGGCTGCTCTGGAAAATCACTCGTTGTCTCTAAATAATCCCATTAAATCGCCGTTTCGGGTGGCGATAACGTTATCAGCTCCTTATTCAAAGTTCCCTGTGTATATACAATGTTAAAAAGCAGGATTATTCGTTAATTTTACAGTTTTACTCGTCTTTTAAGCCATCGTGTTGAAAACAAAACTTTCTTCACTCCTTCCAGAAACTCCTTGCCGCAAGCCCTTCCTACTCCCTCTAAGTTTGAGTTACATATAAGAAGGTCGCACACGACGATCATAGATATTTTATATACACTAGATACTATAGCGCATCTCATTTAGTAAAATTGAAGCCAAGAATATTCCAGCGATTACCCCCAATTGAATAGATGGCGGTCATGTTGGTCGTTCCCACTTGCTAATAAACGCTTAAAAACAACACTATAACTTTCATTATTTGAATACTGAGTTTAAAAACGTATTTGGAATAGGGTTAACTTAATGTTTAAGTTCCCTGTTTAAGAAAAAGAAAACATACGAATCTTCTCATTTCATGGGAACTAGACTGCGAGCAATCCCTCTATTTTCCTTCGTTTTATTGTTTCCCGGACTAAGACTGAACGCGCGGGAAAATGGCAAAAAGGAGCGGAGACGAGAGGAAAAATAGAGGGATTGCCGCTTTAACTAATTGTCAAGCGTGTTTGATTTTCCCGTTGCACGGACAACGGGAAATTCTGATTGGTTAAAAAACAATAAATATTCTGATAACATTAAAACCCATCACTCAGCTGGCTTTATACTGTAAACAGACATTTGCCGAAATTAATATCTATTTGGCAGCGGGAAGCAACGAAAATTGATATGTATGTAGTTGAAAGTCTTACAACAAAAACTAGCTTACAGAAACAAACGCTTGCAATAGGGTGCCTACTTGAAGGTAGAGATGTTCTAGCTGTCCTTCCTACGGGATTTGGAAAGAGTTTCCTGTTGGCTGAAGATATTCGAAGGGTTTGTTCAAGCCCAACTAGTATTCTAGTATTTAAATTGTTCCCCTTCGTAGCATTATTGATGAACAGTTACGGTCCAACGACTTTGCAGTTTGCATTAAGGATGATCGCTTTTGGAAATATTAACTCGGCCGTTCTTATAGTGGGATCAAGGAAACCAATTTTCAAATATTTGTGTATGCGTCTGCTGATGAAGCTTTGAGCCTTACTTAATTTGTCTCCTGAATTTGTTGCTTTGTTGAAGAGTAAAAGCTCGCCATTCAGAAACGAACTGTCCCTCATAGTCGTTGATAAATGTCACACAGTTAGCCTAATTAATACATGCATGGTGACATGGTGAGTTTATGGAGTTTGGGTTTATTATAATATTGTATGTCTTTGTAAATATGTATTGTATATTGTATATTGTATGTATTGTTTTGATCTTAATTGGAATAGTCATGTTGACAGTATCAATGTATTATTAATTAAGAAAGCCTGTAAAAGATTGTATTTTTTACGTTAGTTAAAACGTGCGAATGTACCCGCTGCTGAGATGATTTGTTTTTACTATGAAAACATGGTTTCAGTGGCACTTACGAATTTTGTGCTGTTTTACAATGCTGATCTGAATTACAGGGTATGGAAACATTCAGAAAGTTGCAGCTGTATAAAACATATACAACGATTCCTGTATTTTCCGGTACGCACTATATAAATGCTTAATGCGCACTTTCTCAAAGGTAAATTTTACGGAGAGGGGAAACCCGCCAAATAATGGCATAATGGTAATGGCCCGCCCGCCCGCATCAACTTTAGGTGAAGCTCCGGATGAGAAACTAATATACAACAAATAGTGGCCTAAGTAGGTTGTTCTCGTGACGTCAAGTATAATGAGTCCGAGCCATTTAAAAGGTTTACAGAACTTCGAGAGAAGAAATAATGGATGATCAAGGGATTCAAGTACGTTTTTAAAAATAAATACAATATTTTTTCAATCCTAACTCACATTGGGGCCCCGTGCGAAATTTCCGGAGAACAACCTACTTATGGAACACATCAAACGATGGCCCGCCGAAGTTTAGTTTAAAGGACAATGGCAATACATTTTTTTATTCCTCATATTGGTAAAACTAGACCCCCTGATTACGAATATGCTATTAGTTTTCATCAAAAATGTTTTGTTCTCGAGTTATTTCACCGTAAATATTCAGTACGTCCGCCATCTTGGATCGATTTTCAAAAAAATTATCTTTTGGGTCACATG